CGTGCGTGTGGAGTGCACACACAAGGTCAATAGATATTTTATCCACCCCTCCCATTCTCTGCAAATGGCGACTGACCGGCTCAGACAGTGACTGGGCGAGGGAATGGGAAAGGAGAGTTAGGTCAATGGCTCAGCCCATTTTCCTCTCAAATCGTATCCAGTTCCTCTTATACTCAGAGATGTCAGCTAGCAAACACGAAGTTTCTGTGGATTAGAAGGCTCGAAGCTGGCCTTTGCTTCCTTTTTCGCATTAACTCTAGCTCCAATCTTCCGCTCATTGGCAGTCTCACTCCGAGAGATCGGTCTTATGCCACGCGCAACCCTACCATGGTGATTCCGCCGCCTCTTTGCACTACATCTAAGCGCTCCATGTTCTTTGCTTTCAAATATGCTTTCCTTTGGAATAAGCTTCCACTAAAAATTGGCTCATCGACTGAGTTACTGGTATTCAAGTAGCAATTACGCGAACACCTTACACCGGAAAGTATAAAAACACGTTTGATGGTTTCATTCCCGAACACTCAGCTTCCTGACTTCGAGAAGGGTCCTCCTGGGATTTAGTGGTAGACCAAATGGAAACATTCATTCATATCTTTACAACCTCTTATTTTGAATTGGTTACTGAATCCGCTGCCACCACTTCTCCCCATAGCGATGATTTTCGCGGTTCTTGATTTCATCTCCCTCATTTTGACTTCATGCTGTCTGTCGACGCTCACGACGGAACCCTCAGTATTTGCCGTCTACTAGTAGTTAGCTCGTACCTCCCTTGCCCACTCCTCGGCTGGGCTCGAAGCGTACTGTGGCCGATCGCGTCTGATTCCTCTCGTCTGGCCACTTTGACGCGAATGGTCTCATCCGGCGTATAAATTCTACCCTGGCGATGTCAGTTCTGAATCCCGTATGCATTACCATATTCAGACCAGTCCTGTCTGACCCGCATACGCACCCTTCAAGGCTGACATTTATTTCTGTACTGACGATGTCCAATTATAATCCACCATATACCGTCACATGCAGGCCAGTCCTGCCCGTATTTTTCTGTTATTATTTTTTAACGAGGGTTTTTTCTCCTGTGGAATTAGTCCAATCATTTTCGAATTCTTAAATGGAGTTTTTTCCTATGCTTGCTCATCATTTTTCTTAACGGACTACAAATTTAGAAACTGTGAATTGCATTTTGTACAGATTATGCCTACCTCATCTAAAATTCGTACGGAAATTTATGTTTACTTGCTTTGTTGGGACCCCGAATCGCTTAATGCCCAGTTAACATCAGCATAGATTTCGAAGGGGTAGATTCTTTCTAACTAACCTGCTAGTATTTACGGATAGCTGGACAAAATCCATTGAAATGGATTTATCAGCCAACGCCGTATACATTGACTTCAGAAAGGTTTTGGTGGTGTTCCACACAGACGACTTATATTCAAGCTACATCAAATGGGCGTAAATGGAAATCTGCATAAATGGTTGGCCGATTTTCTTACGGGTAAATCTCAGCGTGTGTGTATCTGAAACGCTAAATCGGAATGAGCATCTATGCACTGTGGCCTTCCGCAGGGGAGCATTCTGGGTCCAATTCTGTGCTTAGTATATGTGGACGACTGCCGGGACTGTCTAAACTGCGAGCTTGTAATGTTCGCCGATGATCTCAAATTGTGAAACTCAATAGAGAAGCCAGAAGACTCTCTGCAGCTACAAAATGATGTGAATCGCTTGCAACCTTGGTATGATAAGTGGTGTCTTAACCTCAACCTTAACAAATGCCGACCTATCCGATTACGATGTAGCAATAGGAGGCTGTTGAGATTTGAATCTCACTGCTTCATAGGAGGTAGCCAACTCAAATCAGTCAACGAGTTAAGAGACCTCGGTGAGTTGATGAAGTCAAGTCTCAGAACAGCGTCTCACTGCGCCGAGTTATCAAGGAGGGCTATGGTGTCCTAGGCTCGATTAGAACATCCTTCCAAGCATTGGAACATTTGCTCGACCAATGTTGAAATATTGCCTTCAGACATGGTGTCCTCGGTCAAAACAGGATTACATTCTGTTGGAGAAGTACAATGAAGAGCAGCCAAACTGGTCGGCGGATTAAGTCGCCCACCTTATGAGAGACGCTGGCAAAAGGTAAAAATATTTACTTTTTCCTATAGACACTACAGAGGGGATGTGATCACTGCCTTTACGATCGTCCGAGGGCTAAATTGTGCTCTTCAGTTGGAGGATTTCTTCAAACTTGCGCGGACGACCAATCTTCGAGACCACCAATACAAAATAAAGAGAAAATATGCAGAACTTGAAGTACGGGCCAATTTTTTCTTCCACCGTCTGGTCGAAGAATAGGACAAATTGCCAAACTCCGTTGTCTTGGAAAAAAACTTTGTAACCTTTAAAAAAGACTTGATAAACTCGTTCTTGATGCTCAAATATTTACCTTATATCAACGACTGGCATAACTGTTATGTAAATATGTACATGCCTCTCATACGTCTATCTGTAAATAGACTTTTCCGCTACTCTACCTATATGTTTCATATACACTGAATTATATTGAAAATATTACAATGCTCATAAGGCCGTGGTTCTGAAGGTTGCCAACTGACGTGATAACTTCCACCTCGCAGTTAGCCAAATTTCTTGTTTGTGTGGAGCGGCCGACTGGTGGTCTAAGAGTCGGGCTGCAATGGCTCCTTCTTAATGTGGCCTTCATGGCACTCCCACTCTGTTGGATCCGAGCCAGGTGTGACGGCACGTCTAGGTGCGGCTCCGGTCGTGCCAGCCACCCTTTTGTTGTTTAGCAAAAACCTGCTTAATTGATGTGTGGACCCAGGGAGTGTGGAGTAGAGTGCCAAGGTGCGGGCCCGACTGCGCCGTCCACCCGAGCCCTTCCCCTCATCCGTTCTTCTTGGCTTAGTCTTGACACCGAGTCCAGGTGGGAAAGGAGAGAGCGCGGTAGATGCTGTGCAAGTCGACATTTACTACAAAAAAGTCACTCCCAAACGACCTTCCCTGCTTTCGTCTTGCTGTGGAGCACTCAGCCAACATCGTCGGCAACGACGGTCGAGTTGTCGGATGTCCCAGATGTTG